CACGCCAAGCGTCTCGAGTCTCTCAAAGCGTTCGAGAAGCAGCGCAGAACAAACAATCATTATTATCTCGGCGAGACCAAGTGTCTGCCGAGGATAACTTTTATCAGCAGCGGCGGCGGCGGCGGCGGACCCATATATACATATGCACATTCACAGTAAATAAGCAAAACACATACATAGAGTCGCGGCGAGTGACGAGCGGAGGCCCTGGTGCGGTGCTGCAGTCTAGACATGACGTCACACACCCACCATGTGATTCCCCTTCGAGAGCACGTCTTTCGCCGCCGCCGCGCTTAATTTTAATTCGATATTCCGCACACCTGCGAACAATGCAAATTCCAGCCCGGCGCGAGAGAGCCACTTGCTCTATACGTGTGTCATTTCGCATACATGTGCACTTTTTCCTCTTCTCTTCGCATCGCATATTGTCCCCCTTGCGTGTGTATAATACTCGAGCGTGTTCCAGGAAAAGAATTCAAAGACCTGTTAAATTGTAATTTTGCAACGCGGCAGTAAATTACTATGGAAGAGCTATTGTTTCAAAGAAAAGATACTGGATATAGACTTAAGTGGTTTACGTCATTGATTGACTGATTTCAATTACAACCACCCGACCCAACTTTGCATATTTTGGAATGCCCTATAACTTTGAATCTGACTTTTGAGGCCACTTAATTTTGGTGTTTTAAGCAGGACTTTTTTTAATTTTTTAAAGTCACAAAAATACATTTTATTTATTTTATTAATTCTTTCTTTAATTAGTGTTGCAAATAACTAATATCTTACATTAAATTGTTGAAAAAGAAATATATTTGAAAAGAAAGGAATTGTTGAACAAAACGGCACCACCAATAGCAAGAATTTTGCTAAAACTTTCGAGATCAAAAATATCCCATCCGCGGCAGTGAACCTAAATTTATTCAAAATTAAATGTGTCACTTTTTTTTAATAAACTTAATTTGCCATTTTTTGTTAAAACACTGATTTTGAAACATTTTAAAATATACATAATTATCAATTTTTAATTAAAAAAGATTTGTAACTATTTTTCTTTTTTTAAATACTTTTAAATTTTTGAAGTTTCTTACAACTTCTATTAGAATTTTGGATATCCATCAAAAATAAATTAATTGTATTATGTTCAAATAGTAATGAGAGTCTAAGTAGCTGACTTTTTGCATTTTTTATTGTTATTTTGGTAGTCGATCTGAGGGAAATTTTGCTTCAGCTTTAAAAAGTCATGTTATATCGGGTAAAAATCCAAATTACTGATTAATTAAATCCGTTCTCGCAATCTTCCGATATAAAATTTGCGTTTTAAAAAAATAGCCCCAATCTGCTATTCTTGAGAGTGAAATTTCAAATTTGTGCTGTGCTATTTTAGTTCAGGAATATGAATATGTGGCATAAATTGCCTCTGCCGGAGAGATGCGAGCTATTGTTTGCCTCTCTCCCTTCATCTCCTTTTGTCTTTCTCTCTCCGCAACTGTGTGGCTTTCTTTTAACTCTCGCACAAAGTCAGCCTGGCAGCTTTCCTGTTCCCTTTCGCACCCCGCGCTGCTGAAAAATCTGCTGCCGCTCGCGTACACCTCATTTGCGAAAGAGACGAGAGCACGCATATACAAAAAGCAGCAGCCAAGAGAGAAAAGCTGGTCGAGAGTGCTCGCCCGCCCGTCGTCGTTACATAAAGCTGCCTTTGCTACTGGAAAACCGGAGGAGCCTTTTGAAATGATGTACATGGTCGGAGCAGGAGAGCTGGAAAGTGTCAGCAGGTGCCACATCTCGCGAAAATCGATCGCCCACGGTCGCCACCTCGGCGCTATTTTTCATTTCCACGGCACGACACTTTTTCGTTTCTTTCTCTTTTCATGGAAGTTACGCGCGCCAATGGAAGCCACGGACTTTTCTTATTCCAACACGTAAATCAAAAAAGCGTGCCTGAATTCTAATCCGACACGACAATCCAGCTTTTTGCTACAAAAAGTTAGAGCTTTTTACAGATGCTTGTGAAATTTTGTTTCTAATGTTTTTATTTCCAAAGAATCCAAAGAAAACAGCGAATGGAAAAATTTATAAAAAAAATTCAAGAAACGAGTAATAGTAAAGCTATATTTTGAAAAAAATTTATTATGAAATTGAAATTGATTTATTAAAATTAGGAGATGTGTACTTATAAAAAAAATGTGAATTATTTTCTCTAATCCAGAAAGATTATTTGCAAATAATGAAATAAGGAACGAAATTTAATACATTAGAGTTTTTAAACAAGTTATATTGATTTAAAACTTTTTACTTTCATTTTAGGTTTTTTCCTGGAGCTGAAATTTGAATAGCCTTAAGGTTTTTAGATTATTTGAGGAACGTAATTTTTTTCTTGAATGTTCTATGGATTATCCACTTTTCAAAATAATGCAAATTTTTTTGTTATTGCTCAAATTGAAAAGTTTGTCTGAAACAAATCAAATCTTAATTATCTTAATTGGGCTGCGTGAACTTTAAATGTATCCAAAAAATTATGCTATTTTAATTTAGATATTTCTTTTTATTAGTCCTAAACTTTTCCTTATCTTACTTAAACCATTTTAATTATCCTTTATCCAACAATGATTCATAAAATTTATTTGAACTTCCTCCTCTAATGTTTAAAAAGTCAAAGGCGTGAACAAAAAACAAGCTGCTGCATCCGCTCCATGCGGGATTATGCAACCAGTGCATCACCTCTGTCTGCATGCGTTGCCTAACTTGGCCGAGCAATTCGATTGCGCCGCCCCGTCTCCCTGTAGAGCAGAAAGATAAACTTCCTCCCAGTCTTTTACGACATGCTGCAAATATATTGTGCAGAAGAGCGTGCATGTATATGTACTTTAGAAAATCCACACGTCGGCGAGACGTACACGGACGAACAAAAAATGACCAGTCCGGTAGACGCTGTGCTGTGGATCATTTCGCAATTTTCTGCACGAAAAATGAGAGAAAAGAAAGAGGGACGAGATCGACGCGCGAGAGAGTAAAAAAGTGAACTGCGCGCGCGAGACGAAATAAATTGTTGCCGACGCGGCGACCGAGCCAGCCAGGGCTACCAGCAGCAAAAAGAGTTTTGATGTGCATGCAGTGATAATGCAATGGGCATACGTGCACATACATACATACATACATAAAACACAGCGCGCCATACAGCGGAGAGGTATATTTCTCTCTCTCGTCGGCTTGCTTGCTCCGGTCGCGGTACATTGTGGAGTGAAGCAGTGAAGTAAAATAAAATGTAGTCAGTCTAGACTGGCTGTGCCACATTCACTGCACATGACCCACATTGTGTTGCCATGCAAATAATTCCTCCACATTTTACCCGCACACACACATACGCAGCTGCAAATTTGCAACGCGCCGCCGGCGTCTCCATACCCGTTCCTCTCCCCCATAAATTTTTTGGAAAAAGAAATTAAAAAAACACACGTCTTATCTCTTGAACGTTTTCGAGCAACCTTTAATTAGTCTTATCATGACTTGATGTCTGGGTCAGCACTCTGAGTCTCTATCAAACTAATTTTAAAATTATATATTTTTTTCCAACGCTTTTTTTTCAAGTTCATCTCTCATTAAAAAACTCCGCTCTGACAAAACTGTGTTTTAACTTTTCAAAATTTTTACCCTAATTTGAAATTTGGAACGAAGGAAAACAAATTGGAATTATTTTACTTTAAAAGAAATATTAGATTGAGCAATTTTTAGAAAATGAATGCAAAAAATTAAAAAATTTTATTTTTCTCTGAAAAAGCAATTCACCGTAATTTAATTTTCGGTAACTAAAATAATGATGAGCTCCAGGCAAAAATTTTGGAAGGAAATTGATTTTGTTTGAAACAAAATCATTAAATCAATTTCCTTTTAAAATTTTTGTTTTCCACTTTGCCTTTTAAGCTCACTTGAATCCGAAGAATTCATTGTGAAGTTTTATATTGTTTTCACTCTTTAAATTTTTGAAAAATGTGACTGTTTATGGGACAACAAAAAAGGATATTTTTTTTTTAAATCTAGAATATCAGTGGTTTTTTGTTTTAATTTTTTAAACTTCAAAACAATAAAAATTTGCAATTGTATTCCACACTCTTAAAATTTTTGCACTCGCTCTTTTTCTGCACCTGTGAATTGAGTGCAAGAGTTCATTGCATTGATCGAACTTGCTCTTAAATTCATATAGTGCGCTTTAGATGTGGAAGCTAAATTTCCAAATACAAGGTGAAAAATCATCTGGACAAGTACAGCTTGCCAGGGATGTTACTTTTGTCCTAAATATATCTCCCACTATTTTTAATTTAAAAATTATAATTTGATAAAATGTATTGATTGTGTATGATGTGCAAACGTGACTCACACTTCAATTAACAGTCAATAACAAATGATGTTCTTGTGTCATCGCACAGAACCAAGATTTGGAGTTTATATGAGAATAAACGGCTTATAAATTTTGATATATAGTACTATTTTGAAGGCAATTTAAATAAATATTGAATAATATATAAGCTTCGTGTAAATTATAATTTTAGCTTTAATTATTATTTAAAAGTTTATAATTATTTGATAAAAAAAAAACTTGAATAGCGTTAGTTGAATCTCTACTCTCTACAGCCATAAATAACTGCTCAAAAAAGAAATAATTTTTTTATTGACATGCTACTTGTTAAAAATATATTATAAAAAATCTCAAAATTCCAGATTTAGAAATAAATCTTAAAAAATAAAAGTTTGAAAATTTAATATTTCTAAAAATCTTTCAATTTAATTTAAAAGGTTTCCGAATGTAATTATAAAATTATTAAACTAAAAAAATTCCTGTTTCAGGCACCTCGTATCTCTTCATACAATACAATGTTTCTTTGATCGGTAAAAAAGCGCATATTATTGACTTGATTTGAATAATTTAATCATCTTGCGTAGGACGTCTGATCCGACGAGAGACGGCACCGAACGAGAAGCGCACCAGACACCGCGCGAGTGGCAGAGAAGGCCGTGTGCAGCGCCCCGACCCCTAGCTTAGTGCCGAGGTCGGCCCACAGATGGCCGAAGGAACAGCCCAAACGCCGAAGAAGGACCCTTTTTAACGAAACCTACCGAAACGAAATTCAGCCCGAAAAAGAGCCGAAAAAGCAGCCGGAAGCAGTCGGCCGTTGGCGAATCCTCGTCAGGATCTTCGCAGGAGGACTTTTTGCAGACACTTTTCGCGAGACATCCGCGAGAGGCGCCAAGATCGGCCGACGCGCAGACAGGGCAGGGCGCATGCGCGTCGGGCGCCGACTGGTTGCGAGAGTCAAGTCGCGACGGCCGCAGTCTCTGCAATTGTGGCGCCGAATCCGGCGAGACGAGTGCGAGTTTCGGCCGTCGACGGCCTCAGTGTCGCGAGTGATGTGTGCTTCGGCCGCCGACGGCCGCTAGGCGGCCAGTGCATGCCGAATCGTCGGCCGTGTCGACAGTGCAGTCGGCCCCGTCGGCCGCCCCAAGTTAGCGGGGCCGCCTCTTGAGTCGCCGCCTCATCCATGAGCCCGAGTGCCCCCGCGCGCCATGCTGGTGAGTAGCAGTGTCTGGCCCCTGCAACAAGACCCCGAAGCCCCCAAAGTCCCATTGGCATTTTCCTCCCCAACCAGTAATTAAAATCCTAATTAAAGAAAAAAAAATGAAAAAAATCGAAACACTTTCACAACGGTGCTAATTTTTTGCAATTTTATTTTAAACTTCCGAAGAATTTTATTTCATTTAAATTTATTTTCAAATTAATTTCAATCCTGTTTCTGTTCGAACTACGCAGTTTTTCGCCTGCTGGTGCCAGTTTTTTTTTTTGCAAATTTTTTTATGATGTTTCACCCTGCCAGTGGATGCGGTCGGTGTTTAGAAATTCACCACACTTACTTGCTCCGAGGTGTAAACAAGTGCAAAAAGGCTCTCTCACTTGACCTATTTCCGACCGAGATCGCACTCGAATCAATCGCACACCAGCCGCGCAATTGCTGCGCTCGTCTCTCCTCACGCAGCGCACGTCATGTCGCAATTGGCGGCGCCCTGGCCGCAGGTCCACCCTTAGCGAGCGGCGGCGCCGCAGCCAGATAATTGCAAAATCGATTTCAACAGTAGTGGTGCGGTGTGCGCTCGAAGGGCCAGAAAGAAGAAGTATTTTTAAGTGGAAAAGGAGGCGGCGGCCGGCCGAGAGTGTGCGATTTTTTCTGCCCCTGGCTGCGAGTGAAAGTGGTGCTCGCCCGGCCGGCCGGCGCCATCTTGGGGCCCGGGCCCCCGACGGGCCCACCCGGCTCGTCGGCCGTTCAAAGTGGGCCAGGGCCCGCGATTTTGGCGGCAAACCGAGGCCTGACATTGGCGAATACTTGGTCTCGGGGCCAGCCATGTTGGCCCAACGACGGGCTAAATTTGGCTCACCCCCCGCCTGGCTCTCTCTCTCTCGCTCTCTTCACACTCACACTATGATCTGCTACCACATAATTCGAACACCAGAAATTTTGCAATTTTCGTCCCGACGGAAAAGTCACCCCCGAAGAAAGGGAAAAGTCTGTTTTTTTTCGCACCGGCCTCGCGTGCCCGCTTCAATTAATTTCAAGGCAGCGAGGAAAGTGCGGAAAGTCGCCCTAGGAAAGCTTTTAGCCGTGGGAGACCCCAGAGTGCTGGGAAATGGATCTATTAAACGTCTTGGGCGAAAAAAGACAGTGTAATTATAGGTGCTGTGCGTCACTATGACTTTTTTCAAAATAGATCACCATTGAAAAATAGATTCATGTCCGGAGCAAAAAACCAAATAAATGAACCAAAAAAGGGCAAATTTTAATTTAATTATTTGCTTAAAAGATTTGAAGAATGATTTCAATACTTTCACCACTCAATTTAAAAAGTTCACACCATCAATAATTTTATTCAGAAAGTTTGTGTGAAATTTAAACTACACAAATTTTGAGTGAAAAATGATAATTATCTTGAAAGTTCTCTATTGCAATAAAAAAAATATCAATTCAATTTAAAATTAAAAAAAATATATAATAACAAATGAAAATATTTTCCTAGATTTTTATAATTTCTAGAAATGAGACAAATTCTATGAATTTTCTCTGCTGGTTTTATTCTTTTATTACTTAAAATTGATTTAAAATTTTGAAAAAATTTGTAACACTTTTGCAGCTATTTCATATTTTTCTCATATTTTCCTTATTTTTGCATGTTCAGATTTTTTTTAAAGAGGAGAAAGTAAACGCTCCCTGGAGCAGACGAATGTATTAATTTTTTTTTTTTTTAACAATTTCGAGTATTGAATTTCAACTGTTTTGGAAGAGTCTGGAGGGATTGATTTCCGTCGGTCCGCCTTGGGCGCGGAGTGAATTTCGGCTAGGCCAGCCAGTATATGCGTTGGCCAGCCGTTGAGCAGGAACGAGAGGAAAGGGCAGGTCGATGAACCCCTACGGTAAATACGCCTGCAGACGAACCCACCAAAAAGCAGAAGTTAGTAAGCGTGAAGCACACAGAGTCGGCCGCGGCTCCTCCCGAAAAGTTCCTCCTAAAGCTGCGGTCTCAAAATATATAGAATGATGGATTATGATTAGGGCGGCGTTTTAATTACGAGTCAAAAAAAAAATTTTGAGCTGAAAATAAATTAACTTGGCTTTTTTGATAATTACAAACATGGTGATTTAAGTTGATTTATTTTTAATTTCTAAAAAGAAAATTATTAGAATTTCATTTTGGAAATATCACAATAACCTTCAAGAGTAATTTTAACAGGCTATTAATTGAGATTGGATTTTTTAAATAAACAATGAATTAATTCTGTTTATCGTAATTCATGTTAAATGCCATTAATTTAATTTGGCAGAAGTCATAAAAATGTTTTATTTTATTTAATATAATTTACTCCATACTACCGTAACTCATTTCCCTGCATTATCAGCGTGAACTGCAAGTTTCACCACTTTCCTCATTAATAGCCGTTTTTATAACCTTTTAAAAATAAAATTAAGCATCCAACGTTATATTTCATGACTAAATATTAATATTTTTTGACAAAATTGGTACCGATGATGATATTAAATTAATCAGATTCACTCGGCGCGCTATCTTCATTGGTTGGCAATGCTTTGCATCGTCTAAGTGAGCGTCTAGTCCTCACATTAGCACTGGCGTGGCACGTGGCACTTCCTCCTTTATTTGTGGGCATGTTTATTTTCGAGCTCGCCGAGGTGCGTTTTGTGATTTGAGTAAGTCGCGGCCGACGCGAGATGAGAGTAAATATATTATATACTTGTTGTTTGGAAAGGCAATGTTTAGTCTGTGCCCGAGAAAATGCACCCAAACACATCCATTTAGGTATTTGCCTCGTCCGTCTGGCCACGTGCTCGGCCCGTCGGGAAATGTGCTCGAAATATAAAAGCGCGTGTTCGGACAAAGGAAAGTTTCGCGTCAATTTCGTGGTTATCTCTGCGTCAGCCGGCCTTGACTGGGCGAGATAAAATTCCTCCATTTCCAGACATGCTTAATTCCTCACGTCAATATAAATGTTTCGTTATTTTGAAATCAAATATTTATTTAATTTGGCCATCGGTCAATAAATACTTGAAACGCCCAAAGTAAATTTTTATATTATTAAATTATGATTTTGTGCATGAACTTTTGCTGATCCATTGGTAGATGATTCCTTATCAAATTGGAATTTCCGGAATCTAAATGGAGCAAAGGTGGAAATTCAGGGTTGCTCCACTATCGCAGTCTGAGCTGAAATGTAAATATTTTCGCTCCGTCTGGCCCAGTGCTCTGAATATGAAAGTTTGTTTATCGACAGGGCATTCATTGTTGTGCTTGATTTGCTCAAATTAAACTGTGCAGAGGCATAAACTTGACCTAGACGCGAAAGTAGAACTTGAAAATTTGCGGAAGTTGCAGACACAACAGAAACTTGATGGAATTTCAGCTGTTGAACGTTGCAGATACCGAAATATGCTATTCCAATGAAATCTACTACTTAATTTTAAATTGAACCTAAGCTATTCTTATCGATATTAAGTTTTTTAATAAGTAAAAAGAAATCAGAAAAAACGAATATTTGATAAGGATGGATCTGGGAAAATCAGAACAAATGCTGGAATAATTTTTTGTCTTAAAAATTGTAAATTTAAAATTAAACTAATAATTTTTGGCGTGTTGCAATGCTATAAATAATTTTCGTTTTGTAGCCGTTTACCCTAAATTACAAAAATTTAATTTGAGCTTTGATATCCTGGAAGTCAAAATCTTCTGCAGCGTTAATTAAAATGTGAATATTAATATAACGATCCCAAATCGTGAAATTCTTGACAAGTTTTATGTTCTTTTTCAAAATTTCATCCATCAAACTGAAAATCAATCGTAAGAAATTTTTTACAATTCATTCAATTTTTTAAATTTGATCAAATACAGTTTGTTCTTGAAACTTTTTATTTATTTTCCACAAAATTATATAATTAAATATCTTGTCCATACTAAATTAAATTGATTTCGACAAAAAAGAACACCTTTTTTTGAAAATCCAACGTGCCTGTGAAGAAAATGCTTTTATAAAGTTGTCGATGAGCGATTGATTTCTTAATTGATTTTTTTCTACTTTTCCAAACGACTCCCTTACTTAGCAACTAATTGAAAAAAGAAACAATTCCCTCCCGCTGAGACTGGAGACAAAGAGGGCAGGTGAGCGAATATGCATATACGTGCCAAAAGCGGGCGTCGAATCGATTCCGCCCAGCGAGCGGCGCGACCGACAGAAAGAAAGAAACAAGGACCGAGCCCATTTCGCAAACGAACTCGCGAGTGTGTGTATATTAAAAGCGGCTAAACAATTTCAATGCGCGTATGTAGAATTGAGCAGACAAATTATTGATGTGCGCCGCGCGCGCGAGAGAGAGAACGAAGAAAAATAAATCTGATATAAAACCGAACGGGGTGAGCGAGCGAGCGAGCACCAAAAGAGTGAGTGAGTCTGCGAGTGACCTTCTGCGGGTCAGACGGCTGTTGCAATTGGTTGTGTGTGGCGCCTGCGTGAGGTGGAGTGTCTGTCTGGTGTCTGCTGGTGCGGCGGCGGCGGCCCATCTGCGCAGCCACAAAACCGCTCTCGCACTTTTCGGTTGCACCGCTCGCTCGCTCGCCATCTCCAGCCCGCCGTTTCATTTCGCCAAATGTTGCGAAACGCGATCGCGTCCGCGAAGGCCACGTTTCGAAAAGCCCCCAGAATAAATAACGAGCTGGAATAAAAATACTGACTGAGCTGCGTTCAGATGTGAGCAGAGAGTCGAAGCCGAAATCGCGTGCTCGCGAAATTCTTCACTTGCGGTCATTATTTTTAATTCTTCTAGACTGACACAGAAGCGTCTAGAGCATTCCTCAATATTTTTTTCAGTCCTTTTTTTTACTTTCGAAAGTATAGAATTTTTATCGTTTTACAGAAGAATGATTTCTTTGGGAAAACGAGGAATTCTCTTCCACGGTATGACTTGCCAATTTTAAGTATACAATTACGCATCCTTGCCAATGTTAGTACAGCCGCGTTGCGT